CCAGGGCATCGGGATCTTTCACGGCCAATTCATTTGGTTGTTTCCTGTTGAATTTGGAAAGCGTGTGCATAGGTAACTGTCCTTAGACCCCCACAGCCTGGTTCTACAAGTCATCTTGATCCCTGTCTTTGCAGCACTGGGACCCTGCCCTCTCTGCTAGCTCTGACCCAGGCTCATTCCTGCTGTGCATTTACTCCTTCAACCTTTCCTTTTCCAGGCCCCTCTCAGTTACAGTACTCAGGCACTTGTTTCGTTTCTCGGACATCAGAGGATGATAATGTGACAGAGAGGACAACAAAGAGACAGATGTACAGACAGTCACAAATGTAAATGTGAATCTGGGCTCTTTCTCCCCAGCCTCAGGGAATCACAGTGACCCCAGCCACTGTGGGGTCCCAATGAGAGCAGCCAAGAATTCACTCACCCACCCATCTTATCACCTAGAGTGTTTATCACACTCATAGAGGCTCCAGCCAGCTGGGAATTTGCAGACTAGTGTAAGAGTCTTGCTAAATAAAACCAGAGTTGTGAGGCAGGTGCTAACCATAATTAGGAAAACAGGCTGTGGGCCCACTGGCCCACAGGAGGGAGGTGGTAACTGCAGAGCCGTCAGGAAACTGTTGCCCAAGGAGGGGGAGGTGAGATCGCTATCGAGCCTTGCATCAGTGCAGAGGGAAAACACAGTACAGGAACAGGAAGTCCTCCCACTGTAAACAGCTTGAGTGAAGGTTTGGAGGCGACCAAGCGAACCGGGCACGTGATCATTGTCAGTTAGCTGAACACGACAGAAATGGACATGCTGGTGGAAGGGACAAGACACAAGGCTTTCTGTACAGGATCCGACCAGCCTCCAAAAGCTGGATGATGAGGAATCTGAACTCTGTCATTCAGACTGCGCTCTTTTCATACACCATATGCAGCTGTCGTGGGTGTGAGCTGAGACAGACCACAACTGTAAAATACATATTGGATTTCAAAGGTGGAGTACAAAAGAAAAAAATAGTGCTCATACGTGCCTGTTACATCGGTTGCTCATTAAATGATTATGTTTAGGACATGTTGTATTAAATAGAGAATATCATTAGAAATCATTTCACTTGGTTTTCTGTTTATGTTGTTGTTTTGTTTTGCTTTTTATGCTTGAGGACAATTTTAATAGCATTTAAAAAACAACAACAACAGGGTAGGCAGGCTGAAAATATCAGCAGCTGCCCAAAGGAGGGAGGGAAGTGGAGGAGAGAGAGAGAGAGAGAGAGAGAGAGAAACATGCCCTTCCCAGTCAGGTGTGGAGGTCAGCAGCAGCCACCTAAGCAGAAAGGGCAGAGAAAGCACACTTGCATTCTGCTCCACATTCCAAAGGAAGACAGAAAAGCAGAAAAAGGAAAGGTTCCCCTCATCTGAGTCAGGCCTCAGATGAGGGGAACTCAGTAAGCTAATCCTCCTGCCTCAACCTCCAGTACCACAGATGCAGGCCAGCAGGCACACCCACTTTATTTGAACATAGCCACTAGAAAGTCAGGGGCCACAGATGTGCCTCAGCATACAGGGAACAGTCATCGGTAGAGTGATGGCAAGTCTGGAGGAAGGGATAGTAAGGACAGAGGGCAAGGCCAGGCTACAGCAGAGTGAGATTTGGAAGCCCAGTGGTGACTGGGTGAGAAACAACTGGGATGAAAGGGAAGGAACTGACATGAGACACACAGGAAGAGCAGGCCACACCCATGAGAGACAAGCCCAAGTTAAGCTTTCCTATAAATCAGTCAGTGGCGGGCAGTCAAGACAGCTCAGCTCAGTGGGTAAAGGTGTTGGCTGCCAAGTCTTGGGACCTGAGTTTGATCCCTCAGGCACACATTATGATGGAAAGAGAGAGTACAGTACTCATTGAACACAGAGAAGGTGATATGGTGTCTATCTGGGGCCTTCATCCATACTGAGTAGTGTACTGGAAGGAACTCTACATGCTACCAAAGGAGAGAGGTAAATCCCAACCTAACTACAAACCTTTCAATCTACAAAAGTCATCTGCCTGCAAGATCTGCTTGTACAATGGTGACACAAAGCTGTGGGAATAACCAATCAATATCTACTTTAAGGCCCATTTTCAAGTGGACTACATACCCCACATTACTTGGGTGGTCAAGAATATAAGACTAGATAGGCCATGAACCCAGGAGAAAACCAAATACTACTGTCCAGCCAAAGGAATGCAGCAATAAAATGACTCCTAATAACATTCTGCTATACTCATAGATCAGAGAAGATTCCTCCTGCAGCACATGGGAACAAATAGAGTGACCCACAGCCAGACATTATGCAGAGAGTAAGGAGACTTTGGAACACTCAGCCCTAACAGGATTTGTCTCCATCAAATCCCTCTCCGCAGGGCTCAGGGAACCCTATAGAAAAGGCAAAAAAAAAAAAAAAAAAAAAAAAGTGAAAGAGCCAGCAGGGTTGAGGATACCAGGGAATCAAGGCCTGCTAGACACAGCAGGGGTGGTAAGAACTCACAGAGACTGCGACAGCATGCACAGTCTGCATAGGTCTACACCAGATAGGGTCCTAGACCGGAAAGGAGAAATGGACACACACCACCCCTAACCCAGAAGCTATCTCCAATTGATAGCCATTTGCAAATAAAATATTTATTTCTTCAAGGGAGTCTCACTGAGGAAACAAACCACTCTTAAAGAGAAGCCCCATATCCAGCAGCAGATGTCAGCACAAAACATCTGGGGAGTGTCTCTTAAAATCAGAGCATGTGTGTGTGCCTGTGTGAAAGAGCATGAGTGTGTGTGTGTGTGTGTGTGTGTGTGTGTGTGTGTATCCTTCAGGTCCTTTGTTTATATATTTTGGCTTCTAGCTTTGGGTTTTTATGGGATTCCTGAGTGTTCCAACAAATGTATCTCTGCATCTATGTTTCTTGTGCTTTTTCTTTGGCTTTTGTTTGTTTGGTTGGTTGGTTGGTTTGTCCTATTCCAATTTGTACATTTTTATCTTGTTATATTTTATTATTATTCATCAGATACCTTTTTGTTTTCTAAAAAGAAACAGAAAAGGTGTGGATCCGATGGGAGGGGAGGTAGGAAAAACTGGGAGAAGGAAAACTACAATCAGAACATATTATATGAAAAAAATCTATTTTCAATAAAAGAAAAAAGATAGTGAAGGGTCCAGAAATAGGAATACAGAAATGAAGGCTCCAGGAATATAAAATTATAAAATTGTAAGCTCAAACACATTTAAAAAAAAAAAAAGCTGGCAGCCACTATTAACCTTTAACAACCAAAGAGCAGACATCCTGGCAGCCACTGTGTAGAGGGAAACTTTTAACACTTGTCTCCTGCCTCCCAGCTTCCCCACTAGGCAGGTGTGGCAACAAAGGTCAGCTTCTAACTATTGCCTCTCTAGGACCCTCTGCCTTGTGTTCCCTTAATTTTAACTATCCTCCTAAGTGACTCTACTCTCTGCCTTGCATTCTTTCAGGGGGACAGGGAAAAGTAGCTGTGTGCAAACATCCAAAGTTAGCATCCTATGATCAAAGTTGTAAAACTAAAAAACATGTCTTTAGGCCTGATCTCAATGCTGTAAAAGCTCTTTGACCCACACTGGTGCTTGATTTTACTGTAAGAAGAGGCCCCAAACCAGCCCCTTGCACAGTGTCAGAAGCCAATCTCTAGCTGGTCTCAGCTATAGCTGATAAGCTTTTGTGCCCCACAGTGATTATTTTTCTTTTGGAATAAAGTTTGCTTCTGTTTCAAGTGGTCTGTTCTCCCATTATTTGTACCCCCAGACTCAACAATAACACTGCAAAAACATATACAGACCTTTAACTTTGTTAAATTTATTTTGATGTAGTGTTTTACCATGTCACTAATATTATTGTCTTGCATTGTTTGGATGTCCCCCATCCTGCGTACGTGTGTGTGTGTGTGTGTGTGTGTGTGTGTGTGTGTGTGTGTGTGTGTGTGACTCCTATACCAGTTCATTTTTGGTTACCAAGAGACTCACATAAGATAATTCAGTTTCAGCAGTCTATTGTAAGTTGATAAACATTTGCAAGAGTGCTCTGCTTTTTACCTCTCCTCCTTCACACTATAGTCATTGAAGTCACAATTTACAACTACTCTGGTAATGTGTTCATTAACATTATTTAACCACAGTTATTTTTAATACTTTTGTCCTTTGACTTTTATAGAATGACAATGAATTACTAACCAGCTGCAGTAATAAAGAATTATTTTACAGGTTAGTAATGGCGCATGCCTTGAATCCCAGCACTTGAGAAGCAGGGGCAGGAGGATTTCTGAGTTCCAGAACAGCTTGGTCTACAAGTGAGTTTCAGGACAGCCAGGGGTACACTAAGTAACCCTGTCTCAGAAACACCACTAAATAAATAATAAATACTAAAAATAATTATTTCATATATATGTGTGTATGTATATATATATGTGTGTATACATATACATACATATATATATATGTTTTTAAAATGCTTGTGGGCCTATCACTGCCCTGCATGGAAGGTAGATGCATCTCTCACCCCAGGGACCTTTGCTGCTATCTGGAGCCATCTGGGTTATCATCACTTACAGTGTGTGTGTGTATGGGGTGGGGATGCTGTGTACTGTATCTGGTAGCAGAGGCCAGAGAAGCTGTTCAATACCCACAACTCACAGGCAGCCCCATGACAAAGCAACCCCATCCCAAAACATCACTAGTACCAAGGAGGGGAACCTGTTCTGGACCTGTCACTTGGCACCTGCTCTTCCCCAAAGTACAAGCAATGATGGTGTTTCCTAAGCTTCATTACTCTATGAATGTGAGGGTGACAATAGAAGACCTTGTCCCTGGCAAGGAGGTCCCATTCCAAGACATTTCTGTCATCCGCTTGCCCTGTGATCATAATGAGTATGCTGTTTATGGTACCTGATCAAGCTGAGACTGTCTAGCTGGTTCTTACATTGGTTCTGAGATCACAAACCAGCCAAGCCAAACCCAGAAAAGCAACTTTAATTCTATAATCCCGCTTCCAGTGGGGCTCACGGCAACCCTGCAGGACAAGGAAAGCTGAATGGCTCCATCTTCTTGGCTCTGCGGAGGCCGGTGCTCTCCCCCTCCTCCCTGTGCCAGCCTAGCTGGGCAAAGCAAACTGCTCTTCAGTTCAGGGTGTGAATGTCTCCAGAGGCAGGGATCCAGAATCTGTAAACTACTTTTCTCCTCCTCTCTCCCTCTCCATCCAGTTCTCCTTTTCCTGGCTCCGGAGCCCCATGGCGCAGAAATACACAGCCTCATCCTCAGGCTGCAGTTCAGAGATGCTCAGATATCCCAGGTTCCGGACCACGTCTTTGGATCCGGAGAAGCGATGGGGTATCTTGGTACCCCAGTGCTTGTCTGAGCGTGAGAAATATCTCAGCAGGAACCTGGGAGGGTGGCCTGGCTTCTGCTGATACCAGTAAATGCTATAAATGTTGATGTTATGGTTGCTGCTCAGGGCGCAGGAGAGGCGGATGGTGGTTCCAAGCGAGGAAGATGCAGATGGTGGCTGCTGCAGCATGGGCTGGGGGCCACAACCTGAGAAGAAAGAAGCATGCCTATCACCAGGGCAGAGCCAGGCAAGAGGAGAGGCAAGAGAGGCTCTGGGCCCCAGGAGTTCCCTTACCTGTGAGATGAGCCAGCAGCATGAGGAGGACACAAGTCCAGGCCATGGCTTTCGACCTGCTGCAGCCACTGCTCCTGGAGCCCTTGCCAGCTTCGAAACACTCTCCTCCCTGCTTTAAGAAGAGGGTCATTGTCCCCTGGTTTGTGCTCACCAGCCTCCCAGGCTTTCTGGGCTCTGCAGTATCACTTACCAGAATGGTCTGATGGCAGCCTTTGTGGCTCTGCCTTTGTCCCTGGAAGCGTAAAAGGAGGAAGCACCTGCTAGAAACTCATGGACCAGAACCCAGGAGCTGGCTGGTGGGCTCATCTCCCTGAGGGGGAGTGACCTCAATGCTCCCCTGAGAAGATGAGCGCAGTGGAAACAAAGTTCTTGTTCACCTTTAAATGTCTGGTGAACTGAAACTAGAGGGTGCATCCTCAGGACAATGAAAGCATCTCTTCTCACAGCAGGAAAACTGGGGCTCAGGAGTGGGGTGCTCTGACCCCTTCTAAGCTCTGAAGAGCCTTCAAACCCGGTCTTTCCATCCTAGAACAAAGCCAGGTAATGAGACTTCAAAAAAGAAACAACAGAGATCATAATGGCATGGATAAAGGGAGGGGCTGTTCAAATGTCTTCACTCCTACCAGGATGTTACAATGATAATTTAAAAACAGACACTTGTGCTATCAAACTATTGTCCCCAAAGAAAGAAAATTTCCACACCAATCTCATTCTGGGAGAGGGGAAAAGTTGAAGACTCGGGCCAGCCACTGAAGGGACTTGCCTCTGAGGAAGAGATTTCACTCAATTCTGACAATTTATCAGATCACTATTAGACAATGATGGGTACATTATGGGTAAGACTATGCCTTTCAATTAAATAAGTAAATAAATAAATAAAAGGAAAGGGAAATGACATAATTGCTCCTAGGTATGGTGGAGGAAAATGTTTATTATAGATAAAAGGGAGAGCATAGCCAGAGGAAGGGACATGTAGGAAAGTCCAGAGTGGACATGACCAGACTGAGGTGGACCATGTGAGGGAAGGGGAGGGGAAGGGAGAGGGAAGAGAGGGGAACCAGGTACAGCAGCCAGGAGGCTACAAGTACAAAGGGGCAGGTAACCAAAATGTCTGGATTATATAGGAAAGAGCCTCTGAGGGAAGAGCAGCCCAGTCTAGAGAGTTCAGGGTAGAGGACAGGAGTATGTCAGCAGGTAGAGGGACTGAGGGATGCCAGGAGAACTTGGTGGCCAAGTCTACTTTGATATGTTAAATAGGCACCTCAGCCATTTGTTCTGGGTTTGAAACTTAACAACCTTGACCATGACTGTGTAGTTAAGTGCACATCTTGCTCTCTACAACCTAAGCCTCATATCAGGACTCCAAAAACTTGTGGGAAGAGTCACCAGACCTCTTTAGTTGTTCCTCTATCACAAGTGGGAACATTGACTACCCTCCTTTCTTTGCTTTTTACTATTACTTATATCTTTATTTTAATTTATTCCATGTGCACATGGCCAGCATGGCAGCCAGTGTCTTTACACGCTGAGCCATCTTGCAGTGATCTTAGCTGTCTCTTTAACTGATATAATAAGGATGGGTACCCAACCCTATCTTGTTAGAACTGTGAGGGCCCGGTCTTGGTAATAGAGTGATGGTTTTAAACCAGGAGGATTTTTGTTGTTGTTGTTGTTGTTGTTTTGGTTTTTTGAGACAAGATTTCTCTATGTAGCACAGGCTGGCCTTGAACTCAGAAATCTGCCTGCCTCTGCCTCCCAAATTCTGGGATTAAACGTTATGTGTCACACTCTAAAAAAAACATTTTATACGGCGTCTTCCAGATATATTAACACAAATAGTACCGTCTACAAAATTTTATTGTTTTGGGTTTGTTTGGGGTTTTTTGTTTGTTTGTTTGTGTGTTTGTTTGTTTTTGGTTGGAGTTTTTGATTTGGTTTGTATAGCCTGTAGTCCAGGCTATATGGATGATTTTTGGGTGATTCCCCCCACCCCCAGGACACAAGAAGAAGGAACATAGTGGAGCCTCGAGGAACCCCAGCTGCACCAAACTGGACGCAGACGTCTGGGCACACGGAACTCACCAGCCTCGGAACTCGCAGACACCGAAGTGTCGACATCGGAGAGAAGATGAGGGGACGCCACAAGCGGACAGAGCCGGAAGTGGATTTGTGAGTGGCCACCGGGAGAGCCCTGCCAGAGCGACAGCGACAGCAACGCAGCGGGTGAGCAGTGGGCTGCTGGCTGCGCGAGCAAGCGGAAGACGCTGGCTTTCCTCAGGCATTTCCGGAATAAAAACGGAGCTCAGGCCGGGGCGGGGACGCGGGGGAGGGTCCCTTTCTGGCGCTGGTGGGTAGGCGCTTACTGGGCGACTGCGGCTTCTCCACCGAGCTCACCGCTGCCCTGAGGTGAGGTGTTCCCCCGACTCACGGGTAGGGAAACAGGCTCCGGGAAGCCGTGCTGCCCGAGGCCCGCACTCCGCGTTCTCAGCCGAGGGTTCCACTCGCTTGCCTCCCGGAGCTTGCTCCTTCTGGAGACCATGGCTCCTCTCTGACTTGAAGAACACTTGGGTGAATCCGTGAACTAGAATCGAGGGCCAGGAACTTATGCATGGGTGAAAGGGAAGACGGTGACGCCTCTTAGCCTTTGGGAACAGGACGTGAGAAACCTGAACAGTCACGGTTTAATAGCTGGAGAGGCGGGGAAAAAAAGAAGTTTGCCAAGGTTCCTTGTCACTAGCCTGAATTGTTATGAACTGCAATTCACTCTGGCTTTTAAAACTTCAGCTAGTAAGATGGCTCAGCGCTCTTGCCATCAAGCTTGACAGCCCGATTTCAGTCCCTGGAACCCATGTGGTGAAGGAAAAGAGTTGAATCCCACAAGCTGTCCTCTGACCTCTACTTGTGACCTGTTGTATGTGTGCACCCATACATGTACACACACATAAATGTCTTTAAAACTTTTAAATTTAACTTCTATTTTATAGACATGTTGGTAAATAGACCCGCTGCATACTTGATACAGAGAAGGGACTTAAGAGGTAGGCCTGTTTTCCTGGGTCTTTAGGTGCTTAAAAGTCACTGGAGACTTTGGATGCTTTGCTGACCCTTTTCAGGCCTCCTCTTCTAGTTAAATCTACTACTTCATAAGACACCCAAAAGGAAATGTGCTTATTTACAATGTTTCCCAAAGGACACAGTGATGATGGCATTGCCAATGACTTTTGGCAAGGTATAAACAGTCTGTCTTGCTATTCTCTCTTTGCAGTCAACACCTAAATAGCACTTCCTTAGGAAAAACTATAGTCTCAGGGCCTTGAACAAAATCAAACTTGGTGTATCATGTAGGTTTATGTGACAGAGTCTAATTTATATATTTACATGATCCTGTGGAAAAATCTTAGCTAGACATTTTGGGAGTTAAAGGCAGTGAATTTGAGGCCAGCTTTGGCTACACAAGGCCCTGTCTCTTCACACACACACACACACACACACACAAAGCAAAATCTTAAGTGAATAGAAGTGTTACTAAATCAAAAGTGTAACTGTGGTAAATAAGTGATGCTTGTAAGCCATCAAATTCGGGTTTTCTCATCGATTTCGTTTTGAAATGGAAGATGTGCCCTTAATAGAAAATAAGGATGTCTTCAGATTAATCACAATTACATCTGCAGAGATCTTTTTAAAAGGTAAAATCTGGTCTGGGGAAAGGAAAGTGTTCTGAGCTAGAAGTAAGGAAACTTAGATTCCTTTCACGGATGGATGGATGGATGGATGGATGGATAGATGATACCAGTTACATTCCTTTTCCTGTGTAATCTCTGCTAAGGCAGAATGTTTGTGTCTGAAGGGACTTGCCAATCTGTTCGATAACCTAGAATCTTGGGTTGTAGATGAGAGGTAGAGCTACAAAGTTCCCAGACCCCTAAAACCATGGAAGAAGAGCATCTAGAAACAGAAGGGTTTGCAATGCCCTATAGTTAGTGTGGTGCTCCTGTTGCTCATTTTATGTGATGAGGTCTCACTATGCAGTCCTGACTGTCCTGGAACTCACTGTATAGACCCGCTGGCCTCGAACCCACACTAAGAGATGCCTCTGCCTCTGCCTCCTTCCACGACCTGCCTAAAGTAAGTTTTGATTTGGTTTTGATTTTGTTTTTCTTGGGTTTTTTATTTATTTTTGTTATTGTTATTTAAGGATCTGTAAGCATTTTATTCACATCGCAGGTAAAATTTTCTCATGTATTCAGACATCATCAGTGGAGTTTGCTTACCATCCACTACTTCCCATTAGAGTGACCAAAGAAAAGCCCCTGCTCTCTTGTAGCTTATGTTCTAAGAGCTGTAAGACAAGACCTGGTAGAGTCCACATCAGGCTTGGTAGTGAATGCTGCAGGGCAGTACAGCAGAGACTTTCTCAGAGGCAGCAGGTTTAAAATCTTAAAGCACAGGTTCTGGAGCAAACAGATTCAGGGCAAATCCACGTCCTGCCACTCCAGCTCTAATATGACCCACATTCTCATTATAGAGCAATATAATGGCAATGCCCCATCCCAGCAACACTGGCAGGACTGTCCAGTACTTGGTGCTTTCTTTGGAAAAGACAGGAAACTCAAAATCCTTCATAGAACAATCTCTTCCTGCTTCCAGTTTTCCTTTCTGGCCTCTGACATCTCTGTATGAGAGAAAGGAAGTCCTTATGTCTCTTTAAACTTCACTTTGGGCCTTGGCTGGTTAAACCAAAACTTTCCCAGAATGGACATAAGAGGCATGGCTGTTCCACACATTCATTCATTGTTCCAGAAAATAGACAAAGATAGTAATCCAGACATAACCCATGAAGAGGTGGACCTGTGGTGTTCGAGTATGGTTTTCATGGAGAACATGGTGGTGGTCCAGGCCTATAATCCTGGCACTTTGGGAGACTGAGACAGGAGGATTGCCACAGTTGAAGGCCAGCCTGGAATACAGAGTGAAACTCTATCTCAAAATTATAATGCAGGCTGGGTGGTAGTGGTGCACGCCTTTTATCCCAGCACTCTGGAGGCAGAGGCAGGTAGATCTCTGAGTTTGAGGCAGCCTGGTCTACAGAGCAAGTTCCAGGATAGGCTCCAAGGCTACAGAGAAACCCTCTCTCGAAAAACCAATAATAATAATGCTGTATGTCTATAGATCAAAAAGGAAGGGAAACTGGAGGTATGATTCATGGTAGGGTGCTTGCCTAGCATGCATGAAATCCTGGGTTCAGCCCACAGCACAACAAAGAAAAGGTCAGGCTGGAAAGATAGCTTAGCAATAAGAGCATGTGTTGCTCTGGCAGAGGTCATGTGGTAGCTAACAACCATCTGTAACTCCATTTCATGTAATCAGCAGCCACTTTGGCCTCTAGACCCTGAATGCATATGACACACAGACACATATACAGGCAAAACATCCAATACACATACCAAAAGAATTTTTTAAAGAAATGCATATCTCCCACACATACCCCATTTTATTTTGGTTGGTTTAGTTAGTGTGGTTTTCATTTGGTGGGGTTTTTGTGTTTATTGTCATCTTTTTTTCCTGCTCTGACAGCAGGTTTCAAGTGATACATCCTTCCCAGAAAGCTAAGGGCTAACAATGGTCCAGATATGAAGTTTGCCTGTCCTCTTGCGAGGTATCACTGGCCATAGTACAGTGTAATGTGGGTTAGTTAAGACAAATGCCTGACCGAGGGCTATGGGTGTGAGAAGAGACTTGACTCTGGTAGATGGGTTAGAAGAACTCTGAGTACAGCTCCATGCAAGAGTCTGGTTTCCATACCTTGCCCCAAAAATAAGCCAAGAAGAGGAAGAGAGGGTACCAAAAGTATTTTTCAGAGTGGTAGAACAGTCCAGCCAGGGAGCACAGACAGAGGCTCCAAATGAATGTTTTTTGGTTTGGTTTTGGTTTTTGCTATTTGAGATAGAGTCTCATGTAGTCCAGGATGGCCTTGAATTCCCTATGTAGCTAATGATCTTAAACTATTGATCCTCTTGCCTCTACCTTCCAAGTGCCCAAATATGGTTTTGTTTTGTTTTGTTTTTAACATTTTTAGTTTTAAAAAAAAAGGTATTTTTTCATACAATATATTTTGATGTTTCCCCTCTTCCAATTCCCCACTTCTCTACACACCCAACTTTGTATTCTCTCTCTTCTCTCTCTAAAACAAACACACACACACACACACACACACACACACACACACACACACACACACGAAAATCAAACAAGGAAACAATCAGTAAGACAAAAAATGCCCAAACCTAAATGAGACAAAATGACTACAGAAATACTATTCAGTTCATTTTGGGTTGGCCAACTACTCCTGGGCATAGTGCTTTCCCTGAGACTCTGTTGGAGAAAATTAATTTTTCCTTTGCCAGTGGATATCAGTTACAGGTAGCTTCTTGGTTAGGGGTGGGAGACCGTGTCCACTCCCTCCTCTCAGTGCTAGAACTCCATCTGGCTTAAACCCTGTGCATGCTACCACAGCCCTGTGAGTCCACATGTGCATCAGTCCTGTTGTGTCTGGGAAACACTTCACTTTTGAAGCCTTCTGTCCTCTGACTCTTAAAAATATTTCTGCCTCTTCCACATAGTTCCCTGAGCCCTGAGGACAGACGTTTGATAAGGACATCTCATTTAGATCTAAGTCTCTTATTCTCTACACATTGTGTGAGTCTATATGTTAGTTCTCATCTACTGAGCAAGGCACCAATCTGTGAGTATAGAAGAATGTAATCACTCAACAAGATGTAACTCATTCCCGGCACTGGAGGTTTTACTTGCTGGCATAAGATGTGTAGTTGGAATATTGTCTCCACTATTTAGTTCCTTTCATCTATGGTTATGTTTTAGAAAGCTTCTACGGGAGTAAGTTTATATGTGGTTTCTCAAATGGCTTTTAATATTAGTTGTCTTTCCTCATTTTCCTTATCCTTCTATCTCCTTCCCTACTTAATCCTTTCCTCTTCATCTCTCCATAACAATGTATTCTATTTCCCTTTCCTTGGGGAATTCTGCCCTCTCTCCTAGTCCAAATATGTGTATTTCATTGAGTGAAATTGTAACTTGATTGTAGAGTGTGGCCTGCAAAGTGATGTGGGTAATAAGATAGATGTAAGGCTGGATATGAAGAGCTTTCTGTGTTCTGATGGGGACTGCACTCTGGAGTTAGTGGGTCTCAGGCCATATGATAGGGTCATAGGGCCTGGCCTGGCCATCTGCATTGGGCAACATGTATCCTAGGGTAGCCAATATCCAGCCTAATGAAGTGCCTCTCTCAACCTAGAAACCAGTAATTTCTCTGCCATCTAAGGTAGG